AACGCATATACGACGACGTACAAGCACCTTATCTATCGCGATATTCCGAGCCGTTGTAACGGAGTTGTAGATTCTTTACGTCGCGACAAGCCCGGCGAGTATTCCGAGATAGGCCCGGCGATGGGTCCTCAACGACGATAGGCACGTCTATCACGGGCGCTATTCAGACGGTCGCTTGAACTCGCGCAAAAGTCCCGCGAGAATAGCCCGCTAACGAGAGTTTCGCACAAATCACGGCGATTTTTGTCGGGCCGGATTTATCTCGAGATCGGCGCGATTCGTTAATTCCGCGGAGGCGCGCTCAAGCCGCGAGTAGCAGACGCCCGCGCGCGCGCGAGCGCGATTGTGCAACGATCGCGACGGCTCTGCTCGCGCTAAGAAGCACGCTCGCTCGTTCATTCGCGAGAATGCAACATAGTGCAACGCGTTGCAAGGCGTCGCGCCGCATTGTACGGCGGCGGGACACATTGGGATCATAATGTCGCGGGACAGTGACATAGCGTCGGGAATGCCGCGAGTGCGTGCGGTATCGCCGCGCTCGGTTCTCTGTCTTTCTTCCTCCCTCCCTCCCTCCCTCCCTCCCTTCCTCCCTCTCTCTCTCTCTCTTTCGCCTCCTCGCTCTGTCTCTCCGGGGTCGGGACTGATTTATAACGATTTTAATAGAAATAAAGGTATGCGCTTGCCCCTCTCTTTCTCTCTTTCACTCTCTCTCTCTCTCTGTTCCCCCTTCTTTCTCGCATCGCGCACAGAGAGATAACGCGCGCTCGTAACGCCCGGCGACAATGACACATCGCCGGGAATGCACCGGCGCTATTTTAGCGCGCCGGTATACTCGGCCGCGAGTCGGAGTGAGGCGCATCTCGCGCGAGATACCCCGCTTTCGCGCTCACCGCGTGGCCGGTCACCGCCGGAAAAATCGCGATCGCGGAAAAACAAGCCGCGGTTGCTTCCACCGCGCGCGGCTTCCTCTCTCTTTCTCTCTTTCTCCGCGGCCGTGACAACGCGCCGCGCAGCCTCCGCGGGGATAAGTTATGAACAGCGCGGGCTACATCTCGCGCACCCGCGGCTTCTAGAAAAAACCTACCTACGCAACGCCTTACGCTGACTAAATCATCCGCGGACAAAAATGCCGCGCAATGCTGCAATGTTAGTCGCCGCGTGAGCTTGGGCAAGAGAAGCTACCGAGGGAGCATCTCGGATCTCTTCAATTTTCACTCGCCGCGAGCGCCCCGTCGGGCGAGTCGTATCTTCCGATGACCAAAGCGATTAAAGATTCAAGAAAGCGAGAGGTCAGAAAAATCCGGACCCTTCAAATTTTTGTCTTCAAATTTTTGACGCGTCTCGACTGTCTCTAAAGTGATTTTATAAAATACAACTCACACTTGTGTTATCGATTTACATTTATTTCCATTATTGCGTATTTTTCGGGCGAGTCGCTTCGTCATTTGTGTAGCTTTTACGGACGTTTAAATCGAAGTTTCTCGCAAGAGAGAAATCGTTGTCGCACGTCGAGAATCGTGTTCTTTGCGAAGAAACTACAAAGTACGCGACTCCGTGAATTTCTCCGACTTCCGTTCGCCGCGTGCGGATACGCGTCTCTCACTACTCCACTTAGTCCTCGTTATTATGCACCGTGTGTCCTAGAGAATGATAAATGAGGGAGTCTCGTGTGCTAGCGTGTCACCGACAACGTGTCGTCGTCGTCGGCGGCGGCGGCGGCAACACGGCGTGCGATTATCAGTGGCCGAGGAAACCGGGCCGACTCTCCGCGGACAATTACCGATAGGGCGCGCGCGTGCAACAGGTTGATGGAGCGGGTGCGACACGTGTCCGCAAATTTTGTCCGTCTCGCTGTCCGTCCTCGACGAGTCCCAGGAAACGGAAGTGATTTTATATTCGATATGACGCACGCTGTTATTATTTCGGAAGGGGATCTCAGCGGGATTGCGAAGTGCGCGTCAGTTTAGCGTAAATGCGAGAGAGAACAGGACGCACGTGTGTTTAATGTAGCTGATCTCCGAATGTAACACGCGTCGTGATATCGGTAATATCTTTTATTCTCCAAGGAGAATGAGCAGAAAAAATACATAAAAAATGGGCACCTCTTAATTGCGAGTTAAGCGAAACCGCATTATCGAAATTCACGTGTTTGAGTTCCTCATACTCGGGATTCGTCGTACCGGGATGTCAACGCACCGTAGAGAATTCGATTGAAGATTGACCTCACTTTCACCTCGTTCGAGGCGGTGCGTACCCGGGACGAATAACTGAAAAACGCGAGAGTGTGTGTGACACGACGCCGTCGCCGATAGCGATCGAAATTATTCGGGTCTCCATCTCCGTTTATATTAACCCCGATACCCCAAGCGTTCTCTGTTACGTGGAGACTCGACTTCTTACGACTTCCTCGAAAGTGAAATACTATGCGTGATTTTCATTCGACGCGCGCGCGCGCGCGCGCGGCGCATCCTAACGGTACGACGCGGCGAGGTTGAATTGATTTGCATCCGTGACGAGGGAAGAGATACGTGATTCACCCACGTATATTCGCGCTGTTATATCCCGCGTGGTATTAAATGACGCGCCGTGCTGCTTAGATTAGCTGATAAATTAAGACTCGCGCTCCGTGCGCGGTCTAACGACTACGGGGGAAAATAATAAGATTAGGGGAGCGGGACTCGCGTGTAGAATAAACCGAGAGCGTCCGCAGTCACTCGTTCGTTCGTTTCGCTTCATTTAACTTTCGAATTACGAGTCGTGCGCGAGCGCTGGAAGGGTTAAAGGGCCCGTGTCAGCGAGATCAGCGCGCAAACGATTGAGATTATTGATAGGCAAATTAATACCTCGAGTATCGAGAGTCCAGTTAGAGTTCACGTAACGAGCGGAAGGATATTCCGAAATTACGACCTTGACTATCGTCGTATCATATTGCGCCTGAGACCTTATCCAAGCGGGCGAATAGCAAGGGGGAGCGAGAGCGAACGAGAGAGAGAGAGAGAGAGAGAGAGATTCCCCGGCTCCTTACCCTATAAATCTCCGGATCGCGTAATGTGATCGCGCGTATTCGGTTTCGCGTATAATTCTAACTAGCGGCGCTAAATGGTCGCCGCGAGCGATAGCACACGCAACGTAAACTACTTCATTCGCCTAACGCGACGCTTCATTTCGCGGGAAACGACGACTTCCTCCGCGAGCGCGAGCCTCCCGCAACAAAATATCCGTACGTACACAGCACGCTTCTGCGTTTCACGCGCGCGCGCGCGCGCGCGACCGAGAGGTGTCCTCTCCTCTTCCGCGAATCCTCCTTCGATGACCGACCGACCGACCACCCACTCCGTAAAATTTCGCGCGAATTAACTAGCGGCGTTTTACCGCGGTGTCTTGATTAATTACGATCGCGCGCAACTTTCGCGTTGCTTATTCTTAATCTCCGCGTGTCGTATCCCGTGAAATTGCGCCATAACGAACACCGATAGAAGTAACTGTATATCGCGATCGTGCTAATATATACGGTGTCACACGATTAACTATCGCCGTATCTTCCGTATCCACCGGAGTTCCCCGCGACGCGCGCGCGTCTATCGCGAGAGAACATTCGCCGTGAGAAAAGAAAAGGTCCCACTTTCCCGCATGTCGTCATTTCGATCGAGTTTGTCACAACGTGGCCACGCTCCGCTCTGCAACTGTCGTCAAATTCGCGAATTTGACAATCGGCGTACGCTCTTGGATTCAGTCAAGATTACGCACGCCAATCAGATGCATGAATCTGACTACGCTCGCAAAACAGCTTTCTTCGCTGAACGCAGCCGATTTCGTTCGCGCAGCGAACCACCGTCCGCGTCCGTCCGCCGTCTGTTTCCCGAGTGTAACTTTGTAATCTGTCGCTCTCGTCGAACCGCAAATAACCTATAAATAAGCGAGGCTCTCGCCAGGTGCCCTTGAATCATGCGATTGGCATCGCGATGTACCGCGCGTTCTTTATCAGGTGCGCCATGTGCGCGAGGTGATGAGGCGCGGCGACGGCGACGGCGACGGCGACGGCGACATCGACGTCGACGTCGACAGTGGCGGCGGCGACGCGAAGGCGAACCCTCGGAGGATAGCGGGCAATGATGACGTTACAGCTGATTTCAATCACGTGCTCCAGCACAAAGGATCCGTGCAACCCTTCCGCGTCCGCGGGCGCCGCAGCGCGGTGCGGCGCGGCGCGGCGCGGCGCGCGATGGAAATCAGTGATCCTTTCACGCAGCGAGCCAGAAGCCCTCATAAAAGGGAGTCGCTCCATTTGCATCCACCGGGCGTGATCTATAGAAGGCGCGCGGAAAGATGAATGGTCGGATAAAGAGCGACGCGTTAGAATAGCGAAGCGACGGCGGTGATGTGATGTTTAAAGCGCACGACCCACGTTTTACGTTAAGCACGCCGAGCTATAACGACTCTCGAGAGCCACTCGTGCCGGCCGGCGCGGGCGACGTGAGCAACAAGCCGCGACACCTACGGAGCACTACGGAGGACAATTACGACGCGACGTGCGCGTTCACCTACGAACTCTCGGTTCGCGCTAAGCCGGCTATGAGCGGCGGTCGCGGTTGCGATAGACGCGCGAAAAATGTCCGACCCGGTGGCGCGATGGCATTATACGGCCAATTACGCGGCGGTAATGGCCGCCAGGGTGCTGAGACATGAACCGTCAACCGTACTCTCCTCGATGGCATTAAAACCCGTGATTCTTTTCTCTCTCTCTCTCTCTCTCTCTCTTTCTCGGGAAACACGGCGGAGAGGAGAAGAGTCAGAGAAATTCAGTTCGGTTCAGTTCAGTTCAATATATGGCTCCGGACTGCATTCAGCTTTGTCCATACGCCATTTTCCAGTAGTATGAGGATAAAAGAAAAACAGGGACAACGATCAAAAAATATGCGTAGTTACAGGAACCACATCCACGACTCGCCACGAAGGCGAACAAAAGACTGAGTCAGAGAAATAGAAAGAGAAAATCTTACCTTACTTCGAGAAGGTCTGTGCGATCAGTACACCTCGATCGAGTTTTTCGAGTACGAATCCTTTGGTACTTCCGCCGGGATAGAACTGTCTTCGCAGTGAAGCTGCAGATTTAGTCGGATCTAGAACGGGAAACGGGTTCCGAATAGTTGTGGCGGTAGGAGGAAAGAGGTTAGACTGAGCTCGATTTTTCGACGAGCGAAGAATCCGCGATATCGCGGGACTGCGCGTGAGACTCGGTCGTATCTCGCAAAAAGATCGCATCTCTCGACGATGAATCTAAGAATGTGGTGGTTACCTTTGGAAATTCAGAATATTCGCATTGCTCTCGACTCCATCCCGATCGATGCGATGCCGATCGTGTTCGTGCGTGTCGCCAAAATGGACGCCGCGGCGCGATCCCGCGCAAATCGTAGTGGAAGGGTTAACGCGTGCAACCTAGAGCGCGTACGTGTGTGTGCTGCGCGCTTCGGACGAACGCGCGCTTCACATGACGCGACTCTCGGCTGCGTGGCCGAGTAGCCCATCTATCACGGTTTATACGTTCGGCGTTACATACGAACACGACCGAATACGTACGAAAGCGGAAGATCGTCGTCGAAAACAGTGGAAACATCTGGAACTTCCGAAGTAATGCGCTTACCGCGCATTACTTCTTCATTGTTCGTTGATTTTGCCTGTCGCCACCGAGCTGAGCGTCGTACTTTCTGACGTCATTGCTGTATGATCCCGAAACGACGCGGCATCTGCGCGGTATCGAACGCTGTTACGAAGAAATCGCGTCGTGTAACAAGTGACTCGGCACGAGAAAGAAGCGCGATCGACGTACTCGATGCGTCGTCGCGGACTCGGGATAACACGAAGCATGAAGCGAGCTCGTGCAGCACACGCCGCCGCTCCGTTCTCCAGCACGGTCAACGTTCCCTGACTAATACTCGCGGCACCTACGGAGACAATTACTGGACGCCATATACGTTCATCCAGCGGAGTTCATCTCGCATAGATAACGACGGAAAGAAGAGCCGAAGGCAGCGGTGGCCGTGCGCGCGGCCTCTCTTTCTCTCTCTCTCTCTCTCTCTCTCTCTCTCTCTCTCTCTCTCTCTCTCTCTCTCTCTCCTCCCTCTCTCTCTATTCTCCTCTTTCTATTCTCCTCTTTCTACTCTACGCGCCTTTCCCGCGGCATCGTATCTCCGGGCAACGTAAACGGGAGACCACCGCGGCCTACACACAACAGATACTACACGCCGGCGTCCGTACAACGTTTCCTGTTACTTGCTATTCCACGACGCGGCACGCCGGGCTTCTACACGTGGCGTTCGTTCTATCTCCGGACCGGACAATTTGCTCGCAACCCCGAGAGATTTATGCGAGGCGGCGAACACAACGTAAGTACTGTTACCTTCTTCCACGCGGGATCGCGGAATCGCGAGGGAAAAGTCACTCTCCGCGCTCGAGATTCTCCATCTCGAAACTGTGTGCGACGCGCGATGCTTCCTTTATGGCGCGGCGCGTACGCCCGGTACGCGTGTTCTCTTTACTGTTTGATAAACGCGTCATAGCGACAGAAAGATCGATCCCCTCGCGAGAGTTCACTTTCCTCCGGTTAGGTCGGTGCTGTTTCTCTTTCGCGTCGAAACTCTGTGTCATCGCGTCGTACGCGCGCGCGCTCTCTCTTTCTCTCTCTCTCTCCCTCTCTCTCTCTCTCTCTCGCGCGCAGTCGTCGCACTGTTTCATGATTGTACGAATTGCAGATAACGCGAGAATAATTTCCCTCGCGTCCGCGCGACGCTCGTTACGCGTCGCATAAACACATAATGCATCTGTCGGCGACAACAGCGGGCGCGATGCAAATCCGAGTGGACGGCTGTGTGACTCTTCGCGTCGGCCAGTGAATAAGCGTATTCGTAAGCGGACGAGCGTACACTCGCGTATGTAGCGCAGGAATTTGCGCGGTATCGGCCGTGTGTACACACACACACACATATATATATATATATATATATATACATATATATATACATACATATATATTAATATTTATATTTATATTCGCGAGTCATCTGATATCGTTATAATTTACATCGATGGACGTAACGTTCAGAGGCGCTCACACGCTCCGCGAATACACGCCCTTATCGCGCGTACGCCGCGATACCAGATTGCAAACCGGAATCGTTACAAGTCGGCTGGGAATTATCCTAGATAACGTCGCGGCCATCGCGGACGGTGACGAACGGTAAAATCCCGCGTTACGGGCGCGTTCGCGGAGATCCTGAATGCACCTCGCACGGTGCAGGAGGCGGCGGCCCCCCTGAACCACAGGACCCGAGTGCATCTATTACGCTAATAGCGATAATAGCTCGTTTCTATGTGCATGCCGACAAGAGAGTCAGCTGCCTCCGTTAGCCGATACGGTCGGGTCTCTTATCGAGAGGCACCTGCTCCCAGGGGTGACCCAGGCGAATCGCGCGCGCGCGCGCGGTGATGAAGAATACCATCGATCAAGTATGCGCCGCTGTGTGCGAAAATCCGCGCTTGGAATTTCCCAGCGAGCATTCAGCACGGTAGGAGGTAGAGGCCTTCGAGTCACGTATCCGACGAGACTCGCGTTTGCGAGTCATACCGGAACAGCTCGCGAATTATTCTACTGAAGTACGTTTGATTTATTATTATTCCTTTTCACCATCGAAATTATTCTTTACGAGGAATCATGTTCACTTGAATTGTATAATTAATTTTGCCAAAACAGCTCGGCATTAGCAACGTTAACGTCGATATTTTTAGCAACGACCGCGCGCAAGGACGTATGAATCACCGAATAGTAAAACAGATCAGTTGAACATTTTTTTAGAACTTACGCCGTCGTAAGCCAGATTGTATCAAACGATCTTGAGTCCCGCGAAGGATCTTGCCTACGGACGATCTGTGCGATTCTGCGTGCGTGTACGCGCACATGACGCACGAATGTGAAAGTTGTTTGCAGGCTCGTTGATGATGAACTTGTCTTTTTTCGAAATACCGACTGAGAGGAACTCGTCCGACGATTCCGACTTCAAAATAAATTCCGATCCCGAGATCGTCCGACAACATCAAGGTCGAACTTGACAAATTCGCGATACCCCGGCGAGTAACCGCGATTTTCTCCATCGGCTACGCCAATGCGGCTTCATCTTCATTACCAGTTTCACCAGTGGCAGCGACAGCCCGCGACCACTTGGTCCAGGGTCGAGAAGCGCCACGACCGGACGCGAACGCGAATGCCAGCTCGACGCGACGCGACGCGACGCGATGCGACGCGACGCGGTCCAATGTGGGGCGAGATTTATCTACAAATTTGTAATTTAGATGGGATTTAATTAGCGCAGGACACGCCACCGCTATGCGCCTATCCGCTCTTACGCGTATCCATCCACGTCCGGCGCGCTATTAGCGATAATGGTTCTTTCCCATGGAGGATAAAGCTGCGGTTACGATCGGCGGGAGACAAGTGGGTCCGGTACTGGCCCCGCGGGCCCATTGCGCTCTTTCAGCATGCGGCGCGCGAATGGGTGGCGCGTCCCTTGTGAAACCGACGGCGCGTCGAGGCCGAGGAACCAACAACGGCGACACGATTTATTATGATTGCCTCGCCGCGTATGTATCGACTACCGGCGGACCTACCATCGGCAAAAATGGAACGGCGTTTACGGCCTTACGTTCTCGAGGCGAGGAGATCCCCCTCGTCGTCGTCGCCGTCGCCGTCGCCGTCGCCGTCGCCGTCGTCGTCGCCGTCGCCGTCGCCGTCGTCGCCGTCGCTGTCGAGTAAGAACGGGGGAAAGTAAGAAGCACGCCGTGTCCTGCCGGGGAATTTACGACGACGAGGCAATTTGCATCGCATTTACCGGAATCGGCTGTATTTCCGCGCGAGATCGATTCGATTTGATACCGGATTCGATATCGTTAACGACCGTTTCGTTAATTAACTCGGACTCGAAAACTACGATCCGTTCTGCTAATGAAAGTTAACGGTCTCGCGCGCGCGCGCGTGCGGTTATACCCTATGAATAATTATATTATGCCACGAGTCTATAATGACTATTTTATAGTGACTGCGCGCGTCGACATTCCGCAGCTTAATCTCGTCAAGCTCTTACAGCTCTTGACTTCATTTATTTTGGATGTACCGCGCGATTTACGAGTGATACGTATATAGCGACGAATCGTCTCTCTCTCTCTCTCTCTCTCTCTCTGCGCGCAGTAAAAAATTGCTCGTTAAAGTGGACATCGAATACCCTCTGTGCGGACGATTCGTCAAGGTGATGGCCGGCGATAAAAACCGCGGCGGGCAAAAGCGCGTATTCTGCGCAACGTTGATACCGGTGAACCAGTAACGGGTAATCGAATTCCACTCGATTCCCTGAAGTCGAGTTACAACCGCTGCGCGCTCACTCGGCGGATTTTATCGCGCTCGGGACTTTCCTCTGAGTATCCTAAGAATCTTTATCCCTCCCGAACTTATCACTGATCGTTTCCGCGAAGAATTGCGGAAATTTCGCGCGATCGTTACGGCGGCAGCACGCGATAATTGCGCCATCGATGAAATTCGCACGAATTTCGCGCGAGCTCGAGCGAGGCTCGATTCGAGCCGATTCGGACGAATACGTGATGATACGGACTCAACCACGTGATTTACTTCTTCGGTAAGACAGTTAATATTCGCTTTAAAAGAGATAATGGCGTCGACAAAAGCGTCGGTGAGACAGTCGCGGTAAAGTGAGTAGACTCGCATACTAATAGCGAAAACAAAAGTAACAAGTCGCAAGTTCGCTCATTGCGAACTGTCTGCATGGTTTCACTCGCTCGACCCTAATCTGCATTGCGCAACGCGGCCGGCACATTTCATGCGTCGCTTCCTTTTTTCTTCCTCCGCCTGATCTCTTCGTCGCGTCGCGTCGCGTCGGCGCGGTATATCGAGCAGGAGAGATTCTAATTGCCTCATTCATCGCACAATACGCGCGGAATGAAGTAATCTGCGTGATCTCATTTCCGCCTCTCTCGTCCGTCGTTCGTTCGCTCGCTCGTTCGCTCGCTCGCTCGCTCGCTCGTCATTTCGTCGGGCCGAAGTTGCGTAAAGTGGAACGTCGATTCGCACGGGCTCCTCATCAACGGCGGGACAACGAGCCAGCTCTTAGGTCGGGAATCTTGGGCGTGGAATCGCGCTCGGTCGCTCGGTTATGGGAAATGTGAAAGCTGCCGCGATGCTGGGCGACGTGGGTGTTGTCGATCTCACGCATAGTTCGCGAGAGTCATCCTCCGCGAGAGTCGTTATGTCGTGCCTGTGTCTTCCCCACCCTCGGGGGATTCTCTCCCGCGTAATGCCGTCGCGATTACGTAAATACGATTCACGGTGTTCAAATCGAGCGGTTAAACAACATCGCGCTCGGCCGACGACTCTTTTC